CTGGCTCACTAGTTCTAGCTTCTATCTCTTCAATTCTATTCCTTTGCCCTTTCAATGTATTGTCCATTTCTGATATTCTATTATTGATCATTTGGACCTCTTTCTATAGGTTTTGAATTGTTTCCAATGCTCTATCTTGATTGTTCCTGTAGCACTTTCCTGACTTCTTCCTTATTCTTATCAACTGCATTGTATAGTATTTTGATACCTTTTATAATCACTTTTCTGAATTCCTTCTCAGGTATTTCCAAAGCCCGCCCGTCTTCCAGTATGGAGTGTAGGTCTACTTCCAGCTCATTTGCCTCAGTTACTTTATCTCGTTTCTGGACATGTGTATATATGGTCATCTGCTTCTTTTTTTTGCGTATCTTCAGGGGTTATCTGTGGATTTAAAACTTAGATGGGTATGAATTTTGGTATTTTCATGCTTTCTGAATGCCTCCAGGTAGATGTGATCAGGAAATGGGCTTCCCTTTTCACTTTTCTTCCGGAGAAGTTTCAAGATACCACTGTTGGTCGTTTTGACGTAACTTAGGATTTAATTTTCGGCCTATTTCCTCTTTTATCTGCTTGTCATGCTCCACACTCCCTGTTCAGGCCTTTTTTCTAGTTGGAAACAGTTCAGGGCCAGCTGTGGCCGTTTGGTTTTAATTGGAAACTGCCTCTTTAATTTTCGAGGAGATCTGTGCGCATGCATAGTAGAACCCTCTGACGTTGGGGATTGGGTGCCCACTAGCTCAGGTACCCCTATAGTCACCAGAATGGAGGTGCGTAGTTAACAAGGGACCAATGAACAGATACCAAAAGAAAAGAATGTCCACACCTTTATCTCAGTGGTTCTGTCAAGTGTCTGTGGCTGCTCTGATTGTTCTCCCACGTGGTCTCACCGAAGATGGTGGCTCCTGGATCAGCTGAGCGTCCCGGACTAGAAAGCAATAGATTTCTTGCTTCTGCCACAAATTCCCCCAGCTGTGAGCCTTCTAACCTTCTAAATATTCCTTTATATGTGGTTCAGAGTTCTGTGGTTCAGTTCAGGCTCCTGAGCCTGCTTGGTCGGGTATTCTGTGTTGTTGTTGGCGGAGCTCCTTTACTGCACTTCCACCCGATCTGCCATCTTGTTTGTTCTCCCTTTGTGGCTGGTTGTATTGGTTGTATTTCTCATAGCTGGGGTTAGTTTTCTCTACCAGGGTCCCAGGTTCCTTGCCCCTAGGCTGTCTCTCTTGGGCCAGGTATCTCTAGTCTGTCCCTATCAAACCCACCAGTCATTCCTTGGAAACTCTATACAGGGTTGGAAACTCTATTCAGACTTCTTTTTGTTCCCCAAACTCAAATACCATTTAAAAGAAATACAATTTTAAATTCTTTAAAGAAGCAAAAATGCATGTGGTCTTACTGGTGACCACTTTGGTCACCGATAAGGGGAAGTGGGGGAAAAACAGTAATGAAGCTAAGTCCAACCACATTCAACAGACTCTTGTGACACTGGGTGGAGACCTGGTTGGCCAGCAGTATAGCAAGACTCTGGGCCCAGAGACAGTGATATGGCCACAGAGGGCTAGAGCAAAGAGAGAAGTGTCCAGCTGATAAGAAGTGAGGGGAGATGCACAAGAACACCCATACTTGCAAATAGTACCCACTTGACCTTACTTCAATGGCTGGATGATCAGAACTCGACCAAAAGAAGAAAGTAGTAACCCGCTACAATTTGATGAACTTGACCTATACACAGATGTAGCAGCTCAAAAAGGGTACAAATCTTTGTAGCGAGGATCATTCCCACCCCCTCAGTACACAGGGCTGACAGGGATTGGCAAGTTAGACATTGGCTATCCAAAATGTGGAGACTACAAAGGCAAGAAGTGACTGAATTACAAGCTTTCAAGAGGGAGCCTAGTTCCAGATGGGGTGGGGGAAGGTAGAATCTCCACTGAATGGTTTCCAGTCTGTTGGGATGGGGCTAATGAAAGGAGATGGGATTAAGACTCTTGTGGTACAATAGTGAATAATTGCTATCAGGTCTGACTGTGAGGGTCGGAAATACAGAGGTAGATGTTTTTTGACAAAAGAAGAGGAATGACTGATTTTGCAGGTCTGTAGGGTGTACCCTTTGATTGTTTGATAACGTATGGAGGAAATTGTAATCATTGCAATGAAACGACAACGACATATGAATGTAAAACTGACGTTCTCCCATGTAAACCTACATAATTCACAATAAAAACTTAAAAAAAAAAAAAGCCAAATGGCTATTTTCATAGTGTAAACTAAAGCGCATAGAATTCTTTGGGGGATGGGGCGTTGTTGTTAAGTGCCATCAAGTTAATTCTACTTTCCAAGGCTTTAAATCTTTTCAGGAGTAGAAAGCCTCATGTTTCTTGTAATGGAGATGCTTGTGAGCTCAAACTGTTGATCTTGTGTTTGCAGTCTCCAGATTATCCTACAGAGTGAGTTACTGTTCTCCCTTGGGGAAGGGTTGATGTTGTTAAGTGCCATGGATCCCTGTGAAGGGTTCCTGTGGAGCACTTGGTAGGTCTGAACTACTACCCTTATGGTTAGCAGTCCAGTGCTTATCCTATAGCGCCACACCAGGATTCCTGGGGAGGGTTTACAGAGATGGAAATACCACTTTCAGAAGTGCATAAATCTACATGGAGGATATGGTGAGAAACAGTTTCACATTTTAATACTTTTGTTAAACAAATATGCAGGGCAGCTAATTATTTTTTATGGAGCTTCTAGCTACATTTCTCTATTTGGTGATTTATTGTAAATCTTAGCCTCTATGCCTGTTGATTATGGACCCAATTTTTGTTTTTTACCTTTTTATTATGAATTGAGTGAAGGTTTACAGCCAAGATCATCAGCTTTACATTCAACAAATCATATTTTGTTACATCTAAATGATTATAATTCTCTCCATGCTACAGCAGTTAGCCTGCTCCTTCCCTGTGGTTCCTATTTGCCTTCCACCCAACTTCCTATCCGTTTCAATTTTGTATGGTCTCATTTTGAAATGAGTTGCTAAGGAGTAAGAATTAAATCGGGGCTAAACAGTAGAGATTAAGGAGTCTTGGTAGCATAGGTGATCACAAACGAGGCTGCTAACTGTAAGGTCAGCAGTTCAAATCTATTGTCCATACCATGGAAGAAAGATGAGATTTTCTTCTGTTCCTGTAAAGATTTACAGCCTGGGGAACCCTATACAGTATTGTTATCAGTCCACCTAACAGTGGAACTAAGGATTAAGAATGTCCCCATCTTACTAGAGGGTGTGACTCAAGTCACCACCCTTAGATTCCCATGGTGGCATGATCTGACTCCAATTTATAAGAGATTACTTTGGACAAGCTTGCTCTTTTGCCCTGGATCTTGCAACTTGGCTTATTACATCTCACCACTATTTTGTGGGAAAGTCTGCTAATCACCTGACCTGATTCACCAGTTCCCCCAGTCTTGTGTATAAGCAGACTGTCCATCTGGCATGTCAATTTAGGTTCCTCAGCTCCTGAGACTCCCAGGCAAGAAGATTCCTTCAGACTGATCTCTAAACTATGGATTTGGGATTTTCCAGACTCCACAATTGCATGAACCATTTCTTTTGACAATGTGACATTTGTGGGAAGTTGCTGTGCTGCAGAATCCTGGGACATGAGGGAAGGGAAGAGAGGTGATTGATTGGTATCAAGGATTATGGAGGGATATAACATGTTGGAAAAGTGTAACAGTTGGGATATCTTTAACCTATAACTCACAGACACTAACCTTGTGCTGATCTAAAAGATATTATTCAATGTTTCTAACATACTTATTGACTTACATTTGTATATCATATTTACCCACGCACTATCACTGTTGGTATAGTGGGTTATGTGTTGGGCTATTAACCACAGAGTCAGTGGTTCGAATCCACCAATTGCTCTACAGGAAGAAGATAAGGCTTTCTGCTCCTGTAAACATTTATGGCCTCAGAAATCCTATACAGGGCCATTATGAGTCAGAACCAACTCAATGGTACATAATAACAAGAATAGAGACTGCCATTAAGTTGCTTCTGACCCATAATGACTCTATAGAACAGAGTAGAATTGCTACTTATGGTTTCTAAGATTGTACATCTTTTTGGGAGCAGATAGCCTTATCTTTCTCCCACATAGAGCAGCTGGTGGGTTTGAACTGCCAACCTTGTGGTTAGCAGCCCAATACTTAACTCCTTAACCAGGGCTCCTTATATTTAAGTCCCAAAAATACAGAATCACAGAAATAATGTGAGAGGTATTTTATAATAAAATACTAACTGCCCTAACTTTTCAAAATGAAAACCACATCACAAAAGCTTATTCTAAGCCTGGGCTACCACTGGAGCAAGGAGGATAGAAGGTCTGAGATACATCAGAACATCATACTCTTAAGGGACCAAGTATGATAAAAGCAAATGTTACTACCTACCCTGTGTGTGATCTGTTCATTCTCTGGATTGATATATTCTCTTTTAAGGACTCAAAGATTCTCAAAAGGTAAAATTCTTTCTTTCTTTGTTTCTTTTTTTTTTGAGAGCAGCTCTGCACTTTCATTCAGTACACAATAATATGGCACTTTAACACTGGTAATCCCAAAATTAATTCATAGGCACTTTTGTAATTTTACCCACACATACCTCTCTTAATAAGACATTTCCTGTTTATAAACATTTACATGTCACACCATTGAAAACATTTATTTATGTGTCAGCCAAACTTTAAAAAACTGAATCACATTTAAAACACAGTAAAGGAAGTTACGTTTTCCGTTTCTTTTTAGATGAGTGTTCCAAAATGGGGGCAAGTTCAGCCTCCTCACTGTGTTTTCTTTTCTTTTTTTTCTTTTTGTGGTCACTCTGGCAACCACTGGAGTCACTGCCTTGGAAAGCAGGGTCCTGGTCCTGATCTTCCTGGTGCTTTCTTTTCTTCTTCTTCTTCTTTGGCTCCTCCTCGCCAAGGCCATGCACATTGTCACTGGTCTACAGGTCTGTTCCTTCCTTTGCAGCGGCATCCACTAGCTCTGCAGTGTTACCTTCCACTTCGTAAGGCTCTAGGTCTTTCTTCTTCTTTTTCCTCTTTGGAGGTTTTTCAACAGCTTCTTCAGTGATGGTTTCAGTTGTGTCTTCAGAAACTTTAGAACACTTGTCTTGTAAAAAAGGCAAGCAAATAAGATTAAGCTCTGATCTCTCAGTAGAAACCATGAAGGCAAAAAGGCAATGGGAGACATATATAAAACCCTAGTGATATTTAATTTTCCCGGAATGCAGAATACTCCAGCAGCATCTGATTCTAAATGGAATACTTCACATTCTAGCTCATCTCCCACATTTATCTCCAGGGAATGCCACTGGTCGGTTGGCATCTGCTCAGGTTTAGGGATAGAGGCATTGAAACAGCCATGGACTAAGCAGCCTATGTGGCTGGAAGATACTTTATTAACTGTGCCCATAAGTTTTGCCCTGGTTCAGGGCAGAAAATAACAAAATTAGCTTCAATGTTAAGATGGATGTGTCCTTGATCATCATAAATATCGCCCACTCACCCACTACTTTGATGTTATCATATGCAATGGGGACACCTAAAAGACTCTCGGAATAGCGCAGGAGCTCCGTGTCGAGCTGTTCTCGAATTCTGATGCACTTCCTGTTGAGGTTAACGTGGCCACAGAGCGATGTACCTTTGGTGCGGCCCGGCCACTAGGCAGGAGTAGCGGTTATTCACCAGTGTGCAAGCAGTATCATAGGTTGGCAGCTCTAGGCAAGGCAGGACGCTGGCTGCTCTCACCACCGGACCTTCGGAAGCAGCCTTTGGCTGCTCCATCTCTGAACAACCTGCAGCCATGCGGATTGTCCAAATTATTTCTTTATATAAACTTTTATTGTTAAGTACCGAGGAACTGGTTTCAACTCATAGTAACCCTGTATAGGGTTTCTGAGGCTTGAAGTTTTCTGCAGGAGCAAAAAGTCTCATCTTTCTTCCAAGGAGAAGCTGGTGGGCTCAAACCACCAACCCTATGGTTTGCAGTCCAGTGCTTATCCTATGGAGTCACTGTGCAATCCTCTGGTGGTGGTGGTGGTGTGCCATGGAGTCAGTTCCGACTCACAGCGACCTTGCATAGGTTTCAGAGGTTGGAAATCTTTATTGGAGCAGAAAGCCTCACCTTTCTCTTGTGGAACGGCTGGTAGTTTCAAACTGCTGATCTTGAGGTTAGCAGCCCAACTTGTGACCATTATTCTACCAGAGCTACTCTATATATACCAGGGCAGGGTACAAATGTTATCAGGAAAACGTGGTATTTTTAAAAACATAGGTGTTCCAAACCTACCTTCTCAGGTATTAATTCAGCTAATATGGTTTTGGCTCAAGCATCTATATTTTGAAAAAACTATATCTTGTTCTGGTGCGTGACCAGGATGAAGAACTGCTGCTGTAAAGTAACTTAAGATTGAAAAGAAAATAAGGCAGCTCACTTCCTTTGAAGCTATTATGGAAATAAGCACTGTCTGCAGAAATTCACTAGGAGTAGATCTCTGATTTCACATCAACATACCCTAAATCCTATGAGCTAGGAAAAAAAGTTCAACATATAATGACTCAAGCAATTATGCCTTTACCTTTATTCTTTGTAATATTAGCTCTTAGTGTGCTGGGGCACACAAATTGCTTCCAATTTACATATACTATCATAGCAAACATTGGCATCCAAAAACAATATTACTACATACCACTTTTTTGTCTTCTTGATCAACTCCAGACTGAAGCATCATTGGATCTTGGATTTCAGTGTTTAGTCCTGATTGATATGTATCATAAACCTATTAGAAAGTCAAGGAGCACAATGATAAAATTAATAAAAAGCTAGCCCTTGCACTCTTTTGAAATTTTTGTCTTTTTCTTGATTCTTTTCTCCTGCAACCTTGTGGTCATTTGGGTAAAGATTTAAATATACAGAGTTCTGGTGTGGCGCTGTAGGATAAGCAACGGACTACTAACTGTAAGGTCATCGGTTCAAATCCACCAGTCTCTCCTTGGAAACCCTATATAGGGTTGCTATGAGTTGGAACTGGCTTGACGGCACTTAACAACAACAATAAAATTTATATAAAATATTTACACAGGCGATTCTATAGACAGAAAGTAGACTTGTGGTTGATTAGGGCTAGGAACTACTACTGTCAGTTTGTTCTCCTGTGGTGGCTTCTGTGTTGTTGTGATGCTGGCAATTATGCTACCAGTATTTTTAAATATTAGCAGGGTCAACCATGGTAGATAAGCTCCAAGGAAGCTTCCAGACTAAGACTAGGAAGAAAGGCCTGGTGATCTGCTTCTGAAAATCAGTTAAAGGAAAACATTATGGTTCACAAAAGAATACTGTATGATATAGTGCTAGAAGATACAAACAAGTAAATAAAAATCATGTAGGTGGCCATGAACTTGGCAACATTTCATTATTTACACTTAAGGTTCCTGTGAGTCAGAGTTTACTTGATGTCAACTAATAACAGCAAGAACAGGGAATGATGCTAATGAGCATGGGGTTTATTTCAGGGGTGACTCCAATGTTCTAAAATAGATTTTTGTGATATTTCACAACCCTATGTATTATCATGTTTGGTGAGGTGGAGGGTCAGAGAAAAAGAGGAAGACCCCCAGCGAGATGGATTGGCAATGTGGCAGCATCAATGGACTCAAGTGTGGCAATTGTGAGATTAGCCCAGGATTGGGCAGTTCTGTTGTGCATAGGGCCGCTATGAGTCAGTACTGACTTGATGTCCCTCAATAACAACAACAACAACAATTTATTAATGTAATTTTTAAAATTCCCCTTATTACATACCCCCTTTCGTCATTTCTTTACAGTCATCTATTATTCTCCGATCTCTCCATTTATACCCAAACTTTTCAGTCTTTGGGAGGGATGTTAATTTCTGCCAGTGTTATATTCTAGATTTCTAGCGGCAATACTAGTCTAGCAAATAGTCAGTCTACTCATTCACAGTTACATTTTTAGGAATCATTCCTGCTTCCACTGCATGCAGTTATTGTTCTGGGAATACAACATCAGGTAAGGAAAAAGAAAGATGAGGTGATGTGGGGTGAGGGGAGAGAAACTGAAGCAATATGGGAAAAAAATACAGAGTCATACTAGTATACTCCCTACCTCATCTTCCCCAAATCCACCAGAAAACCAGAGAAACCTATCTAATGGGAAGCCTCTCTTGGCCCCACTCACAGTGAGTTTGAATATACACTTCAAAGACATGAAAGCCAGCTGTTCATGCCTGCAAATGTTCCATTTTAGACAACTGTTGTTAAGTGCCTTTGAGTTGATACCAACCCATGGTGACCCTGTATAGGGTTACTGAGGAGCAGCTGGTGAGTTTGAACTGCCAACCTCGCAGCTCAAACTGGCCTTGCAGTCCAGTGCATTACCCTGCAATGCCAAACTAGAATTCCATTTTAGATATGTATGTCTAATTCTTTTATTCTGAGGATAACAGCATATTCCCTGGTCTCAAGAAATATGAGCCAGGAGTCCAAAATGGTACAGAATCTTCTGTTCTGAATTTTTATGGTACTCTGAACATTTGTCCTGGTGTGGTGCTATAGGATGCTCACTAGACTGGTAACCGTAAACTCACCAGCCATTATTGAAAACCCTATACAGGGTTGCTAAGAGTCAAAACAGACTTGACAGCAAACAACAATAATAACAACTAAATATTTGAGTCTACTTCTGGATAAGCTAGTCTAGAGTAAGTGTTGATTCCTATTTGTAGTCTCTTATGTTTATAAGCATCAGTCTGATTTGCAAACTATGTGCAGAGCAAACCCCATCATCATCTTTAGTCTTTCTCTCTTATTGGTAGACAAAAGAGTCCTTATTTGCATTTTGTGCCTCAGAGGATGCAAGAGGAATATGTCTAAATTCAGCCTGATTCAGCATTGCTGAACTCCCCTATTTCCATTCATCACTTAAATCTAGAAGACAGTAAAATAAGCATACTAGGAGATCTACTTGCCAGTTTAATAAACTTCCAGTTCTGGAAGGCGTTTCTTCTGATAGGCAGTGGCATGTACTACTTTAATTCACCTCTCAAGTTCCCACAGGACAATACAGGGTCACTATGAGTCAGAACCTACTCCATGGCACATAACAACTACAACATACCCTCTATGGGCATCCATTTAACAGACCAGTTTTCTACTGCTGTTTTACTTGACTCTATGGCCAGAGCACTGGAGTCATGGTGTGGCACTGTGGGTTAATTAATGCGCTGGACTGCAAAGTCATTTGAACCACAAGGTTGGTGGGTTCAAGTTTACCATCTGCTCTTCAGAAACCCTATACAGGGTCGCTATGGGTTGGAACCAACTAGATGGCACTTAACAACAAAAACAAACAACAACAAAACAAATGGTCACCACCCATGAGTTGTTAAAAACCCAAATATACAGATAAACATGCAATCCAGCCACAAAGCAGTTGTTTTTTTTTTAATGTTTTATTGTGTGTTATGTGATAGTTTACATGGGAGGACATTAGCTTCACATTCATTCTATTGTATATTGCTGGTGTGAGATGATATCTCATTGTTGTTTTAATTTGTATCTAGCCTCGGAAACCCTGTGCAGGGCTACTATAAGTCGGAACCAACTCCACGGCACTTTACAACAACAACAATGGTTAGCGATCATGAACATTTCTTCATATGTTTATTGGTGGCCCAGATCACTTCCTTTGTGAAGTGTCTGTTCAGGTCTTGTGTCCATTTTTTTAGTTGGGTTATTTATCTTTTACTTGTAGAGGTGTTGTAGTTTCCTATATATCTTAGAAATGAGTCCCTTGTCTGATGTGTCGTTACAAAAGATTTTTCCCATTCTGTAGGTTCCCTTTTTACTCTTTTGGGTAAGTACTTTGGTACACATAAGTTTTTAATTTTTAGTATGTCCCAATCATCTATTTTGTCTACTTCTGTTTGTGTAGTTTTCAAAATGTTTCGTACTCTGTATATTCCCTGTATTAGAGCCTTCACATTTGTCACTATTTTTTCATTAATGACCTTAATGATTTTGGGGATTCACATTTAGGTCTTTAATCCATGCTGAGTTGGTTTTTGTTTTGGGCATGAGGTAAAGGTTTAGTTTCAGTCTTTTGCATTATCACTTTCCAGTTCTGCCAGAACCATCTGTTGAAGAGACTATCCCCTCCTCTTGCGGTATATATTTAGGTATTTTGTCAAAATTAGTTGGCTATATGTGGATGGGTTAATTTCTGGATTCTCAATTCCATTGATCAATGTGTCTTTCATTGTACCAGTACCAGGCTGTTTTGTCCACTGTAGTTGTGTAATAAATTTTGAAGTCGGGGAGTGAGAGGTTTCCAACCTTATTCTTCTTCTTTAGAAGTGCTTTGCTTATCCTGGGTCTCTTTCCTTTCCATAAGAAATTTGTAATTGTTTTTTACATCTCTTTGAAGAATGTCATTGGAATCTGGATTGGGATTGCATTATATGTGTAAATTGCTTTGGGCAGTATCGACATTTTCACAATGTTAAGTCTTCCTATCTAGGAGCATGATACATTTTTCCATTTTTGTAGTTCTCTTTTGGTTGCTTGTAGTAATGTTTTGTAGATTTCTTTGTATAGGTCCTTTGTTTTGCTGGTTACATTTATTCCCAGATATTTCATCCTTTGAGCGGCTATTGTAAATGGTATTGCTTTCCTAACGTCCTTTTCAATTATGTGGTTTTGGAATAAAGGAATCCAACTGATTTTTGTATGTTGATCTTATACCTGCCACTTTGATAAATCTTCCAATGAAGTCTAGCAGCTTTTTTACTGAGCCTTTGGGGTTTTCTATGTACAGAATCATATTGCCTGCAAATAGAGTTTTACTTCCTCTTTGCCAATTTGGATGCCTTTAATTTCCCTGTCTTGCCGTATAGCTCTTGCTAAGACTTCCAGTACAATATTGAATAGGAGTTGTGACAAAGGGCATTCTTGTTTGGTTCCTCTTCGCAGAGGAAAGGCTTTCAGTTTCTCTCCATTGAGAGTAATGTAGGCTGTATCTTAATTATGTTGAGGAATTTCTCTTCAATTCCTACTTTGTTGAGTGTTTTTATCAGGAATGGATGCTGGATTTTGTCAAATGCCTTTTCTGAATCAATTGATATGATCATGTGGTTCTTTTCTTTTTCCTTATTTATATGGTGGGTTACATTGATTGCTTTTCTAATGCTGAACCATCCTTGCATCCCTGATACGAATCCCACTTGATTCTGATGTATTATTTTTTTGATATTTTGCTGGATTCTGTTGGCTAGGATTTTGTTGAGAATTTTTGCATCTATGTTCATTAGGGATGTTGTTGTTGTTGTTAAGTGCCGTCGAGTCGGTTCCAACCCCTAGCAACCCTGTACAGGGTTTCCGAGGCTGTAAATCTTTACGGGAGCAGAA